GACGAAAAGAGGCGGAAGGTGATGCAGACAGAGGAGAAAAATCTTGGAGCTTGAGGGCACCTCTGCAGCAGCACTGATTACAATTGAGCATCTGCAAAGCCATTGTTTCGGCCTGAGGAATCCCGGGATCTGCCCCGGCGGTTCGTCTGCGCCGAGTCCCGCCTTGAAGTCTGGCGACCGATCGCTTTCTGCCCCCACCAGCGTCGGCCTCTTGGAAAAGCATCCCCTTGGTCTCCTCCACCCTCCGTCCTCCTCCCACCCCTCGATTCTCTCTCTCTCTGCGGGAGTGTACAGTATTATCTTTTGGGAGGTCAGCCTTTCTTTTGCTCGCAGCTCAATTTTGGATGTTTGCGGAGTAGAGTTCATGCTAAGCGCCGACAGGATGGATGAGTTTCAGAGTGAGGAGGAGGAACCGTGGTATGACCAGCAAGACTTGGAACAAGGTAAGGAAATGTAAAAACACGAGCACCCCAACGAGGGTTGCACTTCACATAGGGGAGGGCCTGAGTCATGACCCAGCAGGTCCGGACAAGAGCAGAAGGAAGCTAGATTTTTAAAAAAGAAGCTTCTCATCTCTTTTTCTGGAAGCCCTCTTTTGCAGCATCTCACGGGGAGTTTAAAGTCACCAAATTGCACGTGTAGCCGTTCACAGTGTGCCCTGGGGACAATTTCAAATTAAAATGCCTCTGTAGACCCAGAGGAAGATTTGCTTTGCACTTGTTAGTCTGTTAGGCTAAAACTGACTTAGATTTCTAGGGCTCATAGAGTTTATCCCCTGCAGAAACTCTTAAAGCACTTGGGTGGTTTATGTCCAATTAGCTTACTCATCCTGCTAAATTTACTTAGTTTCAGTGGCGTCAATTGTAGACGGTTGTAAATCAGAGATATCTAACCAAGAATAATCCGATTTTCAATTGCAAATAATCCCAACAGTATATGAGCCAACATTTTAAAAAGAGATAATTTGTAAAACGCAGCAAAATGTTACATTGTGTGCTTCCAACAGTGTTTTTCAATGAGTCACAGCAAATTCTGCACATCATTTTGCTGAGACATAAAAGTTTCCCAATTTGGGGTACGTCTCATGGAATTTGAAATTTTTTTTTTCCCATTATAAAAAACAGTCATAACATAAGTAAACTCAATAACCAGTAAAAAAACCCCCACCCCCCCACCCCGGACTTCCCAAACCTAATCCCAGGATAATATTCATATAAAAGTAAGCAAATACTAATATCTCTAACTCCACAAAATATCTTAAACTACAAGAAAAGATAGAAAGAGTAAGCAAACTTAGAAAATCTAAAAACCTAAATTATATTCTACCACTCTATGCTTCTTGGAATTTGAAAATTAATAAGTATTTAGACTTTAACTTTTTGCAGCATTACTAAATTCTGGCTTGGCATTTATCTAATTCATATTAGATATTATTATTATGGTTGGATGCATACTCAGATGTTTAAACTGTTTTGGCATTTTTATTGACCTATCTAGTCCCCTTCTTAAGGGCTTGGGATAGGCAGATGTTGTTTGACAGTAATAAAAGTATCATCTTAGTATTATTATTATTACATTTCCTAGAGGACTCTTTAGAAAAAAATTGTTTAAAATATTGATAAGAAATTAAATACATTTTTAATCAAGTGCTTTATGGTGCCCAGAGTAACTTTCATGTGAGATGGACATCTATACAAATTAAATAAACAAACAAACAAACTGGTTTAACTTTGTATTAATTGCTGATAAGTTGTCTTTATTATAGAGAAAGGTCATAGTTTAGGACTTTTGTGTCACACTAATTTAAGCATATCCTAAACTTTTCTACCAAAACACTGAAATTTAAATATACTCCGATTATGATCTTATTCAAGGATTATCATTTGTTCCATGTTGTTTGCATACATTCGAGATCCTAAAAGGAAAGATAAAATTTTATTCTCCAAGAAACTTGATTAAGGTAAGAATACATGAATATATATATATATATGCAGGTTGGTCTGTTTCTTGAGCCAGCAACAGTAAATCTGTTCTACAACAGTAAGACCACCAAGGATTTTGCTTGATGACGATGAATGGAAACTTTTGCAGTACCACGCTCTAATAATTCTGCATTATACTTTGAATGAGAAGTAAGATTGTGTTTGTATGGTACTATTTGGACAGCTAGCGCATCTTTAAATGTCAAAGTTAATATGTACTGAGCTATAGCTAAAGTGGTTTAAGATGGGAATATGCTAACTGCAGCCTTAGTGCAAGGTCAGATATACAGGTTTACACTATATCTTGCAGGAGTATCATGGCAGCACATCAGGTTGATAAACTGTAAAAATTAATGACAAACAGGTTTCAAAAAAGTGTTAATAGTAAGTACTAGAAATACAAATAAGTTCCTTAAAGTCAGTCTCAGTTCTTGGTGACTTCATGGAAATGTTCATAAACATTATTGAAAACAACATGGAAGTATTTTACAAACAGTTTTTTCCCAGGATTTTCATTTTATGGTCTAATCTACAGGCTTGATATGTTCCAATGGTCTGCTAAGCAACTGTGAGGCAGGAACAATTTTGTGTAACTTTTTGATATCAGCCAACGAACCAATGCAGAAAAACTGTTGGGATTACATGGTATGATTGCATGATGCACAAAGCTGTCATGTATTAAGACTATTGTACTACATGGAGCTGCATTGAACCTAGCTAAGACTCTGAAACATTGATACTCATTGTAGTGTTGTCATTTTTGGTGGGGAGGTGTGGAGATTGGTATGATGCAATATGGCTATTAGATATGTAGTATAAAGGGAGTCTAGATGCTTTCTTCAGGAAGAAAAAGCAAAATTTGGCAGGTTCTCTGCTCTTCAGATTAAATGCTTTCACTGCTAAAAGCAAAAAACTTTAAGAACAATGGTTGTTTTGTGAATTCATCTGTGAAGGATATATTACTGCTGCTTTCCTAGTTCAGTTAATGATTTGTAGAATATAAATGCTTTCCATAAGTAACAGTATTTTAATTAGAAGCTAACCTAAAGGGCTACATATACTAACCACCCCTTATTGTAGTGAATTATATCTGGTGCCAAAAGTATATAATATTTACAGTATGACACTTGTTTGCATTTTCTTTGTTTCTTAAACTACTGTAGTTTGAATATTCTTATGATTGTCCCAATGAGTTAGATTACATGTAATACCAATCTTTATGCTACTTTTTATTTTTCTGCTTTCATTAACTGTATTCTTTTCCTAAAAGTATTTGGTATATATACTTACTTTCCTCTTGATCTTTCCTTGTAGCTGACAAGACAGTTAAAAATTTGATATCAAAAAAATAAATTAACTTATAATTTGATAGTTGATGCAAAAAAAGCAGAAGACTGCAGTTTCATCTTATAATTTCAGTTCTGTCAGTCATAATAATGAAAACATTTCTGTCTCAAGCTCTTGAAAGGTTAGATGGATGGTATCATACAAAAAACCTTTCCCAAATAGATGTCCTTCAAATGTGTTGTAATGTGATTTGCATTATCTCCAGCTAGCAGGATCAAAAAATTCTGTAGGTTCTAAATTTGGAAGAAATTGGCATTTAAGACTAATATAATTCCAATACAGTTCCACAGAGCCTTTGAGTTAGCCTCCAAAAGATATTGCTGTAAAAGATATCTTTAATGCAAGAGGGAGGGGATATTACATAAGGAGAAATCCCATGAACTGTCTGAATTAACTATAGTCAACAGCAAAATATCACCAGAGAGGAAAACATTCGGAATAAGAATCATTTTCTGAGGCTTTCCTCAGTTTTTCAGTTCTCTGATTTTGCAGATGTGTATTCCATAGACAATATTACTCATTGATTTTTAGGCAGTGGACATGTGAACTAATTCTTTGCATAGGATTAGATTCTTTTCAGATTTAAATCTAGTGAATACTGGCAATGAAGGAAACAACAAAAATGGGCTTATTTTGTTTCTACCAGTAAAAACCTCCCTTTTCTTTATACTGTTCTTCATTGTTAAAAAGCAGCTGGAGGCAGTGCTGTAACAGCAGATTTAAACAGTACCAATAATTATTTGTTGGGTTTTGACTGTACAGTAATGCATCCGTCCAAACACAAACAACAGCCTGTAGGAAAAAATAGTTTGTTGAAATGTGTATTTTCATACATGTATGTATTTGCTTTAATCATTCCTCCCATTCCTATTTGCTGAAGAAAGGCATTCTGGGATCAAAGTACTGCTCCTTGCTCCTTTCAGGAAGTGCTATGATTAGAATGCATGAACAGGGGAAGAACTACGGAGAGAAGTGGCGACAGTGAGCTGTGTTTCTGTCAGCCGGAAGATGATGATGTGGCTCTTTTGACATAATCCAGCAGCTTTTCCAAGGAATGTTTGCTAAGGGTTGTCAAGGGAGAAGAGAATTAGGAAATTTAACTGAAGAATCAAAGAACATTTTCTAAACCTTTGCATCTTGCCTGCTTCACAATTAATGCCTCTTTAAACTGAATTGCAGTTGGATGCCCAAAAAAAACACTTGGCTCTTGCTAGGATTTGATAGTTGCGTTCAAGAACATGACACACAGATCTCCTTTTGTAATCTAGTTCTATATATTGCATCCCGCTCGGTGCCAGCCACTTTTGAAGACTTGGTGTGCTTTGTTTCCCAATCAATTCTCACAGCAACCTTGTGAAGTGGATTAGACTGGCACAAAACAATTGTTCCAAATTTACCAGGACAACATATTTAAATTTCTTACCATTTCTTATACATAATTACATAGATTAGTTACCACAATCTAAATAAGATCTGCACAACATACAGCCACACCAAGCAGCTTTATACGGCCAGTTAGCATTTCTTCAAAACCCAATAAACCCATTGCCACCAAAATTCATTGCGTTGTGGGGGGAAAAATGTGAAGGCTCTGAATTATTTTTCTATCTTTTTCCCCAGGATGTTTTTGTTTCATTTGCTGAAAATAGAAAATATTTTGAAAGATTAAACAAAAATCCCCACCAATGAAATACCTTATTTTGGAATAATAAATACCATAAAACCAAATTACATATATGCTATCCTTCTTTTCTCCCAGATATTTTCTATTCATTTGTAATAGGAAAAAAATTAACTGACTATCCAGGTCCTCCTGTCCTGTACATGAGGGAGAAGTAGGGCAGTGCTCCTCTCCAGCGCAAGAGTCAGGTACATTTCTGTGCAACCAGCTTGGGGAAGAAAAATTCCAAAGAAAGAATTTAGTCACTGATTTGCTTTTGACTTTGTCTAGTGCAGGGGTAGTCAACCTTGGCTCTTTTATGGCTCGTGGACTTCAACTCCCAGAATTCCTGAGCCAGCTGTGCTGGCTCAGGAATTCTGGGAGTTGAAGTCCACGAGTCATAAAAGAGCCAAGGTTGACTACCGCTGCACTAGTGCTTATGCAAAATCCAGAG